TATAAATTGTTTTTCGGTTTAGCAGTAATTCTATACTCTTTGTTAACCCTTTTTATTAGTTATTAGAAACACATCCGGTTTATTAATTTTATAAATATAATTTATTAACTAAATTTGCGCGTAATCTCGCAACGTCGCAACCTTGCATGGCAACAGCGGATTTCTTGAAGTGCAGCGACATTCTATGGCAGCGAACAATGTGTATCCACATAACCTGTAATAAGTTTTTGTTCGGTGCAGAAACAACCATGGAAAACATTATATGGAGAATATCTCATTTTGCATACGAGTATTTCGCTGAAAAAGAAAATTCTGTGAAATCAACATTTTGGGCTACATAGTCGTTGTTAAAGTCAACTCTGTTAATATAAAACAGCATAGATATAATCTAAGTACACCAAGTTCTCAAGCAAAAAATATAGGTTATGTTTCCCAGAAATCAAATATATTTACAAGAGAAAACTTACGAAAATTTTTAACAGAGGCCCGTGATTAATGTACCTAATGTCAAAGGTAATCTCAAAGAAGGTCAATCACATTGTCTATAAAACATAATGTTTTAGGTATATTTTTTATTCGAAGTTGTAGGAGTATGCGGAATGGAAGAATTTGAACAATTTTCTTGTATCTACATAACCTATAATAAGCTTTTATTATTATTACAGAACAGATTATTAGCTTACATGCCCATTTTAAATGAAAGTATGAAGCATACCTCTTATTTTTCGGCACTTTTAATATTTTTGCTTGCAGAAAGATCTGTAGCAATTGCAAAATAGAGATGGATAGCAATAATAACAAGCAGTTTACATGCATTCGACCGAACTTGCAAAAACTGGCAGATAATATATCAAATTTATTACCTAAAAACTCAGCCACAGTTTATGAAAAGCGGTATGAATTTTTTTTTGCGCAGAAACAACCATGCAAAATATATGGAGAACACCTCATTGCATACGAGTATTTCGCTGAAAAAGCAAATTCTGTGAAATCTTTAACACTTTGGGCTGCATAGTCGTAGTTAAAGTCAACTCTGTTAATAAAAAACAGCATAGATATATCTAAGTACACCAAGTTTTCAAGCAAAAAATATAGGTTACATTGCCAAGAAATCAAATATATTTACAAGAGAAGACTTACCAAAATTTTTAACAGAAGCCCGTGATTAAATGTACCTGATGTTAAAGGTGATCTCAAACAAGGTCAATCACATTGTCTATAAATCATTATGTTTTAGGTTTATTTTTTATTAGAAGTTGTAGGAGCATGTGGAATGGATAAATTGAAAAATAATGACGGCATTCAAGACAAAAACGATACGCTAATAATTAAAATTCCAACGTCTAAAACTGGCAAAGCACGAGAATTTACAAATATGTGTAAAAATATTTATCCAATTGAAATATAGTAAAAATACCTAATTTTAAGACTGCACCAGACAAATCATTATTTATACATTACATTTGGATAGTGAATGCAGCAGCTGCTGCATTGTACAAATATACCTGCAAACACACTGTAACAAATTATGCAGACACCTCTTTTGACTAAAAGATATATATTTAACTTTATCCATACGTTGTCAACTTTGTTAATAATTGCAATCTCTAACTTCATAAGAAATATGAATAATCTACTTTGGTGTTTTATAGTAGTATTAAATGTTCATTGAATATAATTGCATTTACTACGAAGTAAGCTTTCCTAGTTTTAAGTTGTTTTCTTTTCTCTTTGATTGTCTTAATTTCTTCAGCCTCTATGTGGCTGTTTTAATTCCAAAAAATTGTTTCTGAATAAACTGATTCATACCACTTTTTCTTTCTTTTACTCGAAAACAGTTTAAACTATAACTCCAAATATTTACCTACTTTAAAACGTGTCAAGCATTCGCTTGTTGTAAATGATGCAACCATAAATACAAATTTGAACACTGATATGACAGGTTTGAGGCTAGGATGTGGTTTTCATATCACCCATTACTTGTTGCCTAAATCTGGCGCGAGGCCAAAAGTTATTATTGACGTATATATATATATATATATATATATATTTATCATGTGTTATGTGCGATAAGCTGAGGACAGTCCACGATATAAACGATTCTCAAAGCTAAATGTTTTTAAGTAACCAGTCACTTGGGTCAAGGCATAATTTAACATCATGTAAATTCTTTGTTTGAACCGTTGATACAGTGTGGCATAATTTAACATCATGTAAATTGTTTGTTTGATCGTTGATAAAGTGTAGTAAATATATTAACCTCATGTAATTTTGTTAGCTCTGTGGTAACCCAAACTCCCCGCCTTAAAATTTGACCTTGAAACAGTTTGAAAGGCCCGCGAAAAATTCAAAAATTCAAAGTTTGGCCTTGGCTGTGATCGTCTAACAAATGAGAACCTACGTTGTGTGTTTTTTTTTTTTGGTTTTGAAAAATGGCGGGAAGAAGTTCTTTCATACAAGTGCATACACTGTCGAGAGCGCAAGAAATAATAGACAAAATTAGGAGCCTTCCTAAGGAGGAAAAAGAAACGAAGAACGACAGACGCTCGATTTGCCCTTCTGGCGAGTCCGCAGGGCCAAGGCATCATCGGTCTTCATTCCCCAAAACCCCCTGGGGTTTTATTCACCGACATATTACACGTCAGACACCTTAAGATATGTGAAAGAAAAACACTCGCGAATTGACAGACATACACATATGAAAACCGAACAAACACAAGACCTACACATATGTAAATTGGATGGCAGAACCCGAATCATTATGAGGGTGTGGCGATCGAACAAAATATAGAACAAAATATAGCAATTTCATTTATGAGCACAGCAAAATACCCAGAGGGGGGCGTTGTAGCGCAAGTAGAGGTTGGGACTCCTGATCGTCACTGTTCTCCCCCACGACGGTGATTCTATCTACACCAACGCCTGCTCACACGCATCTCTCCATTACGAACGTGCCCTGCGAAACGAGGCGGTTACGATCGCAGATCCGTAGTGGGGTCCCGGCTATCACGAAACCGGCAGCGTTAAAAACCCGCGATCGCCCCCTGAAGCTATACAACACCCGCGGACTTGTGCAGGTGACGCGATTAATCCCGTCAGTTTGAGAAGGAGTCGCGCGCCCCACGTACACTACGAGTTATGTGTTATTTACCTTCAATTTTATTTAAATATTCAATCTCTATGACTCTAATATTAAATTACAACCGAACAAGTGTTAAAGTTTCAACAAAGAGCAATACACAACATTTAAATTCGCCACACACTCTTACGAAAATTCAACAACAAATAATTCTTACTTGAGATCAAATTTGGACATCAGATAATTTGCAGGACAGAGACATTCATCAACAAAATATTTACATAAGCAAAACTTAGCAAAGATTTATAAAACAAAGATCTGGTGTGAAATAAGCTTGTACAAATTAAATATCATGTTAGGTCAAAACTGCAGAGCATGGAAATTTACGTTCAATTCAAATTATACAGCAAAGAAAGTTACTGAAGCTAAAATTGTGAGACAAAGACAAATTGCATGAGGTGAAAGATTGTAAAGTTAACAGATTTACATGTGATTAATATTAATTCGTGTCCAGTCAAGTTATTGGTTAAAGTTCAAACGTGAAATTATTTAGCTGCATTGTGGGCCATTATTACACATACATTTCCCCAAACAAAACACATAAACAAACATGGCAGACAATCTGCAGTTGCAAAATGGCGTTGGACGAATTCGTCATTCCAAATAATAGGCGTCGAAAATATGCGATGCAAAAATACGATGAATCCTGTGGCGTTGTATAAACGATGTGCTAAATCCAAAGAATAAAGGCACGTCCCCCCATGACCCACAATGTTGTTAATTTGTTCAATAGATTTAACAGTTAAAACATGTGCTCGTTTAAAAGAAACAAAATGGACGCTTCAAAATGGCCGCTGCCTGAACAAAGAACGGTGAGAATAACAACTCGTTTGCCGCCATCCAAAATACAGATTTCACAAATATAGCTAAATAAAGCATGGCCCGAACTAGAAATCACTTCCTGTAAAGCCCTACTGCGATGGATTTTAAATGAAAGATAAAAAAACGGGATTAGTGGAAAAAGGCGCACGCGTCGCTGCGTCACGAGGTCAGGAGTATCGTCGGGACTTGAAACTCGCGGCGAAACAGGTCCCAGTCGAAAACGTGTTCAAAACATACCTCTCCAAAGATGCGAAGATTTCGACACGGCTTACCGCCAAAAGGAACACAAAAACCTCGTCGTAAGAACGATGCGAAATCAGGAACACCCAATGGCTCAACGGGGGCTGCCACGTTTTCCAATGGAACAGATCAACACTGGAAAAACAAAACACAACAGCAAAAGGCACAGAATAATTCACAATTAAAAATACAACCTGTTGCTCGAAGCGCTCGAAAGAAGTCGACTGTTCTCTCGAAGCGATGAAAAGGAAGTGCGTGATCTTACACGAGACAAAAACACCCTAACATTTGCGCATGTCTGTTTCTTTGGGGTGGTTGGTTGCCAACCTCTTCTTCTTACCAGCCGTTTCTTGTGCGCGCGAAGTTCATTTGAAATTTAAAAATTCGAATTGGATCCTTACAGCTCTGTTTTTCTGACGGGGATAGAAGAGACTATTCTACCTCCGTGATTTTTTTAAATTTTTCAAGTAGAGTGATCCTGGCTGCCCGCCCTTCCCCTATATCAGAATAACCCCATTTGACAGTACCTAATTAAATTTGAATCAGTTGCCCTTTCATCTATTTACTTCAAGTTCGTGTCTCAAAAAAATACTCAAATGACAAACAAAACGTCAAAAAATGAACATAAAAATAAATTTTCCTGTACAAATTGTAAAAACTCCAAAATAATTATCTGCGGTTCAAAATGCCCCTACGTTACGGTACTGAATTTGGCATTTTAGCTGAAATAATACCCTCTCTGAACCACATATTTGGCCTTCGCAGTTGCTAAAATACAAAATCCCGCTCCACCACCCATTTAATGCCTCCCTAAGACCTCGACCTCTATTATCTGAAACCCTACCCCAACTTTTAGGTTATGTCATTCCCCAAGCTCTCACTTTCGCCGCACTCGTATTGTGGGTTGCATGTCTTGCATGTCAAGGCGTGCCCCCAAAAACAAACAAACCCATAAATCCATTTCGTAATGTTTATTTTCGCTGCTTCCATCAGTTGCTGACTGAAGGTTATGGTTGTACGATGTAGCTGTCAAAATGGTTGTGTTAGATCAATTCTATCAAATTCTTGAATCGCCGACACCTACAGTATCCCCGCTATGGAAAGGTAACACAGACCCGTTACCCCCAGAAGCCCCACCCACTTTCCCTGTTGCAGCTGCCCACATAACCGCTTGCATCGTGTGTGCCGTCTGCGGCTTCCTCACAGCATTCACCTTCGGTGGGATCCTCGACACTTTCGGCTACAACTGCATTCTGAATGCAGAGATCGTGTTTGATGATGACAATTATTTGAACACTTCAGGCTACAGCTATGATAAGGAGATACATGCCATGGACTTGACAGGGACGGTATGGGGGCCCGAGAGCAGTTGTAATTTCGCTCAGTTCACGCCGCTGGTTATCATGATATCGGCGATAATATGGGGCATTTATTTTGGAATCATATCCAAGGGGGGCGCGGGATATGGTCACGATTTGTAAGTTGGGGCTTTGGGGCTGCTTGATGGTGCTGTGTGGTTTTAGGTTTTCGAGGCCGTGGTCGATCGTATATCCTAGTATATTTTTTACCAGTATTTTTTTTATTGTGTATGTGATCAGTACATTGCAATTGAAATGGGGAGGCCTAGATTTTTGCGCGCAGTTTAAGCCGGAGTTCAACAACACTGGGTAAGTGGGTGGTTTATTAGTTTTCCATTCTTGTTATTTTCAAATTATTAATTTTTGAAGTTCTGAGATTGAAGTTTCTGTTAAGTTGCAAATTTTCTTGTATCTGCAAAAGTCGCTTACTAGTGGAGATATTTAAATTATTAAAAGTCAATACCACATTTAATTTTTATATACAGGGTTAGTCACGAGAGAATTACTTCTGAAAATTATTTTTACGCAACCCAAAATACTAATACCCTGTACCACTTGATATTATCTAAATTTAAAATGAAATGCCTAATCCATGATTGCTTTGACTTTGGCAGTGTCACTTTGACGTTAATTAATTTCAAGCATTTTTTTTCATCGTTGACTCGCCTCTAGAGCCCCATTGGATCGACGACATACAGTCAGATCAATCTGGGCTATACTGAAGCCGTAAATGCTCTACCAATGTTGTTCGCCGCTAATGTGCATGTGTTAATTCGCCATATCTGCGTCACCTAGAGCCTCTTCGAAGTGCAAATCTGCAACCTCTGGACTTCTTCGGCCATCCATTTACAAAAAAGCCGTAGCATCCCCCCAAAATGCCCAACATTTTCAACAGATTAGTAGTTAAATTATTTACTTACTTGTTTGAGTTTGTGTTGTGACCTTTGAATAAAATGTCCTAAAAGGAATTTTTGGAAATAATTTTCTCGTGATTAATCGGTTGCAAAAGATCAAGAGCCACACTGACAAATTTATTAGCGGCGCCGGAGGAGATTTCCGACTGGCTGCGGTACCTCCATGGACATTCGCGTAACCTTCTTTTCCACAATTGTCAAAATGAGATTGCCAAACTCAAAGCAATCATGGATTAAGCATTTCATTTTAAATTCAGTTAGTATCAAATGGTACATGGTATTCGTATTTTGGGTTGCGTAAAAATAATTTTCAGAAGTAATTCTCTCGTGACTAACCCTGTATATGGTACCGCTTTTTTTGAAAATTGAAAATGCATGCCATTTTAACTGCTCTCTCGTCTGCCTATCTATTGATGCAGAATTTTGTCTGTGTTCTGTATGTGGTTAAACTTTCACCAAAATTTGTCTAATCATCCCCCAACAATAATTTTTTGACGTCATCCCAAAATTTAAATAGGTAAATCCTACTTAAATTTTATAGAATGAAATGCTTCTAGATGTGTGGTTTATTAATCTTCTCTTATTTTTTACCTTGGACATCCAGATTTATGAAAAAAAAATGAAAATTTTACAAAAAAAAAAATACAAAACCGTCTGATCTGAAAACTTGCAAACGTTTGCAAAATCCTATTTAAAAAAAAAACGACTTGTTTGATTATGCTTTAGTCGTGGAGGAAGTTCTGCCTAAATAACTAGATCAGTTTTTATTAGAGATGTACCGACTGTAGGTCTGGCCGACTAACCGACTAGCCGATTGTTCGGTTAATAAAAACCGACTAGTCGGCCAACTGTTCGGCTTTGCTAAAACCGGTTCATAAATGCGACAGACAGTGTGTTTTTTTTTTCTGTTTCTCTGACTACCTTAAAAAATTGTTTATTTTAATAAAAGGAATAACTAAAGTTCCTTTGTTTTCCAAAAAATGTGTTAAATTTGTTTAGATAATTTTAACATTTAATTTCTTTTAGTAACTCAGTACAAAAATAAAGAATAACACAATTTAGGGCCAGTTTATACAATATTTTAACTGAGCCAAAGTTGATCGCGCATTTAACAAGGCCATTAGCGACGTCTGATTGGCGTAGAGTCGGTCACATGGTACTTTAACGCAGGGTTAAAAATTAAATCGCAATTAAATATTTAATTGAGGTTCTGTAAACCGGGTTTAATTGTTTTATATACTATTTTAATTTTAATAAAAAAAGCCGACCAGTCGCCGACTGCAGCCGACGATGAAAAACGGCCGAATAGTCGGCTTATCCGACCGGTCGGCCACTAGTCGGTACATCCCTAGTTTTTATAAAAATGTTATGCCATTTTTCAAATCTGCGGTTTAAGACGTTTAAAAAATGTTTTATTTTGTCATTTGTTATTGTTTTTTTAGAATTTCAATATCGTAATCCTCCTTGAGATAGGTACATATATATTTAAATAAACAATAAAATTAAAGCTCATACGGTTCTGAACTTATAATTTAATACTTATATTTGTTTGGGTGTGGAGACTATATTGCCCGGATAACTGTCTATTTAGATTTAATCCTATTCATTGCATGTCATAAATTTATATTAGATAAATAAAGTCAATTAATAGTCAATCAATATAAATATTTCCGTTTTATTTTTTAGTTGTATACCTGAAATCGGAATGTACGAAAATCAGTTCCGCGAAGACAAAACAAAATATCTTTTCGAATTCTATCCGAATATGTTGATCGCCATTTTAAGTTCGGAAATTGGAATCTGGTCGTGGGTTTTCCAACTCGTGATGTGTATATTAAGAGTTTGCTGTGCGGCAGACTTCGATATACAGCTCGTCACAGTGATGACGAAAGAAGAGGTTCGTATTCTACAACAAAATTACATGTTCTACTTTCTAAAATATTTTGCAGGAGAAGGTCGAAAACATCGTTGAATTTGCGGAAATGGAAGACATGGAAGTTTAAACCTTTCCTTTCTAATTTTATAAAATGAAGTACTTATTTTTTTTATGTAGGAGTACTATTTTTTACTTTTGCATGTTACTTTTTTAATTGTGAAATTTGACGATTTTGTGGCAACTGAAAAAATACATAAAAAACAAATTAGACGAAGGACGAAAATAATTTGCATAAGGATGTAGAAAAGTCTAACTTGTTTTACAGTATTTTGGTGTCGCGCACGCGTGATTCTCAAAATTTGACAATATTTAACATTAATGTAAGTACAAGCTTAAATTTGGTACATGCAGGAAGCAGAAAATGTTTCTTGCCACAGAAATTTGTGCTCAAAATTTTAAAATGGAAACTACCTCATGTACGATCTTTCTATTAGTTTTTTATTACGTAGGTTCATAAAGTTGCAGTAATTGAAATCACAAAAATAATTGGAAGTCGTTACTACACAATGAGCCACTATTATTTATTTATATTTCAGTCATTCCACTCGTAATGTTATGACTTTTGCTAATTATTGTGTGTTTTATGCATTTTCATTTTTGGGAATTTACAAAATTGGGGATGTTTTGCTGATATTTGACTAAATTTGAACTTGCCAGAGGTCGCTCACAACAAAACTTGTCGGGATTTGCTTCATAATGTTGCGGAACTGTCATCAAATGTAATCAGTTGAAAGTTATGCTCAGTGACAAAACCTTTAGCGGCATTTGTTGTTACCAATACACCGTATATTGAATTCTTATAGAAATCAGACTTAAAGCACGGTTTTGTTGGTTGCAAAACACATAAATTAACCATGATATATATATACACTATACTATCATATATTATTTTGTCTTAAATTTTTAACGCTTTATATATATTTTATTGCATTTTGTAAAAATGTTACTGTTGATAGAGTTGCCTTCATTGCTCCGCACAGAATGCATTTGCTCAGACAGAAGCCTAAATGTGATAAGTAAAACAAAATTGCGCAAATCTCATTCTCAATTATCATTCGAATCAATTTTTAAAATGAACTTCTGCCTTGCTGTATTCTGGATGTGATAAAATAAAGGTCTCTGTTGTCGAAAATGTCTTATTTAGGAACCCAAAAAAAAGATAACATCCTTTTATCTATATTTTAAGGAAGGAAAATAACCCACTGTGCTTATGTATATCGGGTCGGACCAGTAAGATCTAATTTTTTGTAACGTTTTAATAGTGACGGTGTAAGCAAAGGCCAGACCAGCATCACAAAAACTGGAAATGATAGTACCCCTCTTTAGGCTTGTACCGGTACGAACTAAGATTGTTGTTGATAGAATCTTGACTCATCTGTACACAGCTTGAACTTAATTTCACTTTATTTATAGCACAATCAACACTTCACTATTCAACAAAATTGCAAACAAAAATACTAACTCAAAAATTAATAATTGCGACCTTCATAAAACCCTAAACAAAATAAACCAAAGATTAAAATTCTTAAAGTCTGCGGTTTAACTTTAATTCAAAATAGCATCTGGATGCTGCGTCCTGAAGTGCTTATTGCGATCCCCCTTCTGTCTAAACAACCTTCCACACACAAAACAAGGGTACGGCCGCTCATTTGTATGAATCCTCTTATGATTATTTAAAGCGTCAGCTCGGAAGAACCTCTTCTCACACATCTACAAAAAATTCTTCTTGTGAAAGTTGTTCGAAGAGTTAATATTGTGTACATCGCATCCATAACGTCGATCTTCGGTATGAATGAGCCTGTGCTGGTAGTAGACTGAGCCCGTGAGGAAACACTTGCCACAGACGCTACACTTGAAGGGTCTTTCTCTGGTATGGACTTTGCGGATGTGGTCTTTAAGGTCCGGACGGATTGTGTATCGGGCTTCACACCCCTCGTGGGGACAAGCGAAAGGTTTTATACCTAGAAGGGACGCATCGGGAAAAGGGTTGCGAAATACAGAGAGTACCTTGGTGGAAGCGCATGTGCTGCCAGAGGTGGGAGGTTTGGGAGTAGCTTCTGCCGCAAGTGTCACAGACGTAGGGCTTCAGGCTTTTGTGAGCCCTGCTGTGGATGAGGAGAGCTCGCGCACTATGTAGTACCTTAGATAAGACAAGATAATTTATTGATGTTAAAACGTAGGTATACTTTTACAGGGATCGATATTTCTACCCACGTTACCTACCTTACAGTTTAAAGAATCAAAATCATTACCCATCTAAAGTATAGAAACACTGAGTGGTACGGAAACTTTTAAGTTCATTCATAGAAATATTTACAGGCTGGTCTGGTTTTCAAAAATTAAATAAAATGTAAAATTTGCCATAGAAGTGTCTTGTGTCTGTTTGTGCTCTTGTTAGACATGTTAACCGGGAATTCGGTTTTTTTAATTTTCTTACTGTGTAATATTTATGGTTAGTGGATGACCGACTATTGAATTTTATATTCTTGCGATGACGGTAATGATTTATTTCGTGTAAATACCTTATTTTGTAGATTTTATGATAATTAATAGCAGTATTTCGAAAAATTATGTGTGCTAGAATAGGAACATTTTTTTTCTCATGATTAGAACAAGTTTCCAAAAGGAAGGAAAGGAATATACTTGAGGGTTATGTAACAGCAATCTTGTCTATAGAGTATCTAACGAGTAACGGGGAATAATGTGCCACAAGTCATATGCCTAGATAATCAAAAATACCTAGATCTGTAGGGCTAACATAATAATGTTTTTATGTAGGTACCTATTTGTGAAAATATTGTGTATTGCCTTCAAGAAATGGATCAGGAGTATCTCTAAAGGGACACTTACCTGTCCGCATTCGTCACAGTTGAAATTAGCAGCATGCTCTTTCTCCCTGTGGGACTCCAATTCGGTGATGGTATTCCACACCTCAGTACAACGTTCACACTGGTACTTGTACCCATCGTCCAACGCCACGCAGGGTTTCTTCGCTTTAGGTTGTTGCTTTGGGAATTTTCTCTTTCGGCCCCTTTTCTTTTTCTCGGGAACTCCAGAGGGTTCCTCCACGTTTTGAGTAATCGTCTGGTTTAAAGGCTCAGTTTTAACTTTCGTGGTTTCGCAACACACATTCTCTTTATCGATTTCTTCTTTGTTCTCTACGTTCTTCTTTCTTTTGTTGATCGGGATTTCCAAAGCGATCAGCACATCCTCGATTAACTTATCGATGACGTCTTCGCTCTTGATGTCTTTGACCGGATTTGAAGTTTTCTCGACCACGCTTTCGTGGATTTTGGGCGTGTAATGCTTCTTCTTGATTTTATGAGTATAGAGGATCTCGTGCGACTTAAAAGTACGATCGCAGAATTCGCAGTAGGTCAGTTTGGGTAAGTAGAAAAGATTGGCTTTTTCTGAGCATTTTTTCAACCAGTGCTGCGAGGCTGTGATGTATGACTCGAAAACGTCTTTACAGATCACACATTCGTAGTTTTTGTCGGTTTTGTGAGTTTTTTGGTGCTTGAGGAGAATCTGCTTGTCGGCGTAAGTCCGGTTGCAGAATTCGCACTGCAGAAGAATCTCGGTCGAGATTTTCTCGATCGTTTTGTCATTCTTGGGGTTTTGGTCGCCGCTGCTGTCACTCAGTGGTTCTTTTTTAATGTCAGAACTGTCAATCAAGTCAGTGCAGAGGTCGACGTGATACCCTGCAGTGATGCTGGATGAGAACACCTCGTGGCATTTTTTGCACTTCCAGACAGTAACGTCGCTCCTGTAGAACTTGGAGATGTCTCCGGCTTTCTTGCAGTGGTTTTCTTTGTGGATTCGCAGCCGATTTTCGCTCACGAACTGCTTCTTGCAGTGCTCGCACGTGTTGTCTTTGGAGCTCTCGTGGCTGGTTTGGTGGCGCTCCAGGTTGTTCTTGCTCACGAACTGCTTACCACACGTGGGGCAGTCATATTTGATGCGTTTGCCCTTCTCGATGTCCGCCAGGTCGGCGTTCGGTTTAAGAACCACCTTCTCGGCGTTGAACTCGCACTGGTGCCTTTGGTACTGGTATTTGGTGGGGTAGTTCGTCTCGCAGTTCTGGCACCTTATCAGGTTTGGAATGTTCAGCTTGGGTTTCCGTGCCAAATTCTGAGAATTGTCCAGTCTGTACAATTGCACCGACCCGAGATCTTCATTAAAAAGCCTCTGATGGCTAAAAATTACCGCGTCGCTGATGTTAAAACTCACATTTTTGTCGGTTATGAAGTGACTCTTGTTTATTATTTGGTGAACGGCCAAGTCGACTTCGTACCTCATTGACGAAATTTTCCCAGAGTCGCTTATGAAATGCGTATTTATTACAGAAATTGTCCGATTATCACCGGCGAGCATGATTTTTGCTAGTGTTTACTTTTACAGGCTTGATATCAAAACAGCCCTGCTTCCAAAAGGGCACGGGCAAAATGGCGTTGTTGATATTTGAAACAAATGAAGAGGGAAACTCGGTCGCCCAAAACCACAACAGCAGTTATCACTTAGATTACTCCAATCGGCCACATATAACTTAAACTCGCCACACAAATTAATTAATTTATTTTAATAGTACTACTAATACAAAATAAGTACCACTTATGGAACTAAATGTGAAAGGATGTAACTTTGACCGGAAGTGTCGGAGTCAACAGTACAAACATACCTGTAAATTTATATTACTCGTTAAACACAATTTTCAAACTCCAAACAACACATTGTGGGAGCAGCAACCCCATCCTCTCATCTACGCTCAAGTAAACAATCTTTAGATTTAGAATTCAGTTTCCCGCTTGGGTGTAATAGTCTTTCAAATTCACTGGGTTGGTGCCCCTGCAGTTCCATGTCATCCGTCAAACGTCAAACCAAATGACACGACCATAACAGTTCCGCTTAATTTACAAATGATTCCGTTACGAGTGACGTCCGTTCGCCCCATTTTCATGCATAAAAACGCCTCGCACCGCCCTCCTAGTGCTCACTTCCGTCAATAAAAGAATGACGTGAATGTTGACATAACCTCAAAGTGTACCATGTAAAACTGCCTCATCGTAACAATGATGAAGAAACTAACAGGTACGTTCCGGTACACGCAGTGGGACCCTTGGCTCATTATCTCGCAGATAGTGTCAGTGCAATGTATTTTGTACGTGTCTCTGGGGCTTATTCTGGCCCTTCTGGGGACCTTGGTGGGTGATACGAGGTCTCTGGATCACATTTTCGAATATCATGTAAGTTAGTTGATTGTAGTTCAAAGTGACGATTCATTGTACTGTTGTAGGAGATTCAAGTACGGGATTTTGGTGGCCGTATGGTGATCACGGCCTTTGTGATTAATGCGCTGGTGGGGTAAGTATGTGAAACGAAGTGCGATTTTCACAGGGAAATTGTTTCTAAAACTGCAATTATTTTTGGAAAATTGTCTGTGTAATGTGCGAAGCTGTAAAATCGAAATCGTGTAAACAAACAAAATACCAGATAGAAATTCTTGATACGACTATTGAGTAATGACCAGAAGATGGCGCACCTAACGCAGTTGTTTTTTGACACGTTATTTTTATTGGACGCTATAAATTTAAATCGGAGTATTGGATTTTGCACAGAATATAATTTGCTCTACATTTTTAACTGTAGAAACCGTTTTTTTTTCGTTAATGTTTTTATTAAATTTAACGACGCAGATATTTTTCACAAGACGTATTTTGTTTCATGATAGCCATGGTATAAGAAAGAACACTACATACAACAGTACCTAGTAAAATTTTATTGGTATTTCAAAGTTAACAATGAAGGTTGGACCCACAAAACCATAAATCACAAATTCAATGCAACCCTGGATGTTTCTAGACCACTATACACTGGCGGCACGCTCCTTTTATTGGCGTCATTATCCCCCTGCATTGTCCGACAATCCCACAAAGTAGCAGTTGTAAAATTTTACTAGGTACTGTTGTAGTATTCTTTCTTTATAAGAAGACATGGTATGTATGATATTGCGCATTTTGTGTGACGTCATATGGCTGTCATGACCGCCAACTTTAAATTCTAGCTCGTTGCATGTTCGTATTATCACTATCAACGAACGATGCCAAATTCTAAACACATGTTCTTAGCATCTTATTTCAGCTTAGCACCTTCGAAGATAAATTAACCCATGATTAAAAACTGAACCGAATCCCATCCTCCGTTATAACCTCACATATCACGTATAAAATGACATTTGACGTCACGTGGTTGGTGCGCAAAGCAGACGAAAATTCATCCACCGGAGTAGCATACCATGTCTTCTTGTATACCATGATGATAGCCGCACTAAGGATGCAAAAGTCACTGTTGTGATTTTTAATTTGTCTGGGGTAACTGGCGACTTTAAAAATTTGTTTAAGTCGCAGGCAAAACTTACGAAGAAATTATACATATTTTTTTGCAATAATTCAATAATGTGGCCATAATTAAAGTTAACACCATAGTGGTACGTATATGTCAAGTGCATGGTATAGCCTCTGGTATAGCCATGCGATGTACTAATTTAAAAATCGTCTGGGCATCTATTTGTGACGTCAGGTAGCATCAACGACCTTGTGAGCTTCACTAGGGAAGTCTAGGGAATTTCAGCTCGAGTTGTGATCGCTCTGTTAAATACGTCAATTAGTTGTCGACTAACGAAAGTTAATGAAATTAATAATGATTAAAATGTAATTATTGAAAGTTGAACGCTCCAAAAATGTGGTTTCGTATCAATTTCGATAAATGTGGGACATTAGCAAATGCAAATACTAATTTGCTCTTATCACTTGGGTGTTGAAAAGCGTTTTTTGACATATTTATGCTCAGTTCTTTCCACAAACCTAAATTCTGCGATCATATCACACATACGACTGCAATAACTGAATAATCACAAATTTTTGCAATTTAAAGAATGTATTTTAAATTTCGCGCTAATTTAGTGCCACTTGACGTCACACGTGATGCGTATGCTTATACCAGAGAACATAGAGAAGCGCCATAGTTTAAATCGAATGATGGTTGAGGACTTCTCAATTTATGTTGGTAGCAGTGTTTGTTTCTAACTAGGAATAAAAGTAACTAGAAGAAATGTCATAATATTTTTAACGACGCGTTTTATTTTCGACAAATTTACACTAAATTTACCAGAATATTACAACCTGCTTACTGTTTCCTTCATTTTCATTCAGGTCACACGAATTACAATTATAGTGAAGCAAGGTTTTTATTGGCATCGACTATTTAAAATTGGCGCTTACCTTTGGCGGTTGAGGACTCCAATGTCAATAAGGGTGGTTTTGCAAAATCAGCCTCTATGTCGCTTCTCTATGTTCTCTGCTTATACCATGTCTCACGTGAACTTCAAATACACATGAAATCATGCATAGTGTATCAAATACTCTTGATGGCAAAAAGTTCAAGGCTCTGAATTTCTCGTGAGTTTCAAAGAATCTTATCTTTAATACATTAAACTGAAATACATGGCATACAAAATTGAACCATTTTTTTTGTAGTGGTTCCTGTATAATCTGTTATTGTCTACGACGCTATTGTTATTTTATCAACCTAAAGCAGCGTGTAATGAATATTATCAGGGTTTGTGAAATTAAGTTTTTGTTCGTTCTAAAGCTAGTGTTTCATTTTGTATTTCTTTTAGTTTATCTTGTTCTTTTTTTTAACTTATGAAATATCACTTTATTGACCGCTTTATTTTGATTTTATGGTACACCTAGTTTATAGAATTAATGTTTCCTCTTTGACTATTTATTTGTACGTTTCTGAGGATAGCGCCGTCACGTTGTGGTACATCGTAGAACGAACCAAACAGTGCATGGACTTCAGCTGCACTTGGCACTTCATCCACCTGCTCATCTGCTGGGGCTACAATGGCAGTTTTCCGACCACTTTCTCCTGGTGGGCCTTAAACGTGGCCTGCGCTACTCTGATGTGCGTCTGTGCGGAATTTCTGTGCCTAAGAACTGAACTGAAAGCGATTCCACTCTCATTAGGTCCTAAAACAGACTTGTGAAACAATTGTGATATTTTGTAATAGAGATTTAGGTGCCAATTTTTGTAAAAAGTGTAAAGACGACCTTAAAAAAAGTATTTATTTAGGTCTACATCCATCAGCCACCTAATAACTGTAAAAATTAACGCAAATAAATTTCGTAACAATTTCTAAGTGTTTGGTAACAGGTGTGACTAGCGTAACGAAATTCGGCATCTAACATCCACCATCAAAGCTGAAACTGTTGCCTCCGAAGAAATGAATAACCCCTTGAACCTGAAATTAGTTAAGTAGCTGTAGGATTTGAATACTGGCCTATTTTACGTCAACAACAATCGTGAGAAGAGGGTAAGTCTCGAATTGGGCTTATTCAAACTTCAGAGGCTTGTATATGCTGACAGCACGATTACGCAATTGACAGTGAGAATATGGTCGGTACGGCTCCATCATCAGACGGATCAAATTACAATAAAGTGCACAACTTACACTAGTGCTAAGCGTCAAAGCCCTAACGTGGTGCACCGTGGACATTAATAATGGAAGATTGAGAAATATCGTACATCAAGGCAACATCGATTGCCCACCACAACAGCACATTAAGTTAAAATTTGTACTAATATAGTGGAAATTGTTGCTTACTCTTAGGCACATACATACTTAAAGAGCTACTAAGTACGTCATTAAGTAAGTGCGAAGCTCAATTCTGCGAATCACAGAAGTTGTCACACAAATTATTGCTACTTTTGATACAGCTTTGATTCTCAGTGAAACTAAAATTGACATTGCATTGCAGTCTTTTGGTGACCGAATCGAATGTGAAATCTATCAAAAGAGCAGAAATTTTCACAACAAATCTCGTTGTGGAATGCAGTGAAGTGGTGTTCTTTCCAAGGCATTACCTCACTCGAGTCTACAATAAATAACTAAATCTAAACAATACTACGTAAAGTTAATTCTGGGGAGAGTACTCGTCAACTTCCTCGATGATGGAATCTTGTTCTATTCTCTGTCTCTGTAAGATCAGCTCCTGTTTTTTCTAAAATTAAAAAATGTACGTTGGCAACACTGCATGACTTAAGTACCTCTTCACTGCTGATTAGTACAATTCGATGGTCTATTTTCGGAGTTAATTGACATGACTCTTGCTCGAGGTCGTCCAATGAGGCGCGCCGGGTTAGCCGGGAGGTGTGGTGGGCCGGGGGGCTGGTCGTCGCTTCCACAGTACTGGCCCTTCGGAGGGGTGGGGGACCGTCAAGCTCGCTGCCGTCGAGCATTTTCACCAGACTGTGCCTAGAGGGCAAAGAAAATTGCACCTTAGTGACTACACTCCATTAGATGACAGTTTAAATGGGCCACGCCCACACCAATAGTCTGTCAGAAACCAGGCACGTGATTTGGCAGATTAGGCCCATTAACCAATAGAAATATCTTTATGTCTTATATGAACCACGTGATGTGTTGTTACTTTTAATAATCTGAGATACACTAATACCAACACAACATTTTTATTCTGGCGGAATGCAGTGTTAAAGTTGCATCCATTAACACCATTAAAAAAAGTTTATTTTATTTATTAACACAATGAGTTTTCCCCCAAACGAGATAATGTTAGTCATGAATTAAAACACACATCACTCTCGCTTACGAGAATGAGCAGGTTGTAAAAGATTTATTGCACTTAATTAAGCTAACAAACGATATGCCTGCAACTGTCGCCATCTTAGACGCTTTGTATTTCCTGAGGTTTTAAAACAATTAATCTACCACAAACAAAACACAAAAATTAAACCAAAACAAAACAGTACTACAAGTCTCACCTTCTAGACAAAGTAACTAATGATTGTCTATGTTTTGAATGTTTTTTTGTCTTTCCTAATCGCATATTGATCGCTGTGAAGTGATTCTGGATGGCTAAACCCAACTCGGGACACTCGCCTTCGTCCACCTGGAAATTTCCTCTTTAAATTTTTTTCGGGTGTTGGTGAATAAATTTACCAAAATTTCGGCGTCTTTTAACATGACGTATCCGTCGCAACCCGAGTGCATGTAGCTTTTGGTGGCTAATCTATAGTACTGGTCGAGGTTTAGGTATTCGTCTCCGATTCTCACGAATGATGGGTCCACTCTTTGTCCTGGGGGTTTGGTGGGGTCGAAGGCGAAACTCACACCGGCTACTTGTGGAAATCTGCCCTCTAGTTTAGGGTACATGCACACTCCGTTTTCTAAGGCTTGTAGAACTTGTTGGCCTAGAAATTGAGTAAACAATTGCCGTTCATGCTAGTTCCCATTTTTTCAATGGACACAGTTTTAAAAACCTAAAGAATTTTTTGTTGCGGTTATAATTTGTGGAAGTGAGGAAAAATGTCAGTCTAACCGCTATACTATCAGGCGTCATGATGATCTTTCCTTACTTTCCACGTTTCCACTATATTGTAGTGCCACTGTTTTATTTTTAATGGAACAAAAAACAAAACCAATGTATACAATGTCTCTTTACAATTTTTCATTAAGGGTCATATTCACTTGCTACTGTTATTATCGTTGCAACTCGATAATCTGCGACTGCAAGATCTTTGTCCTTCTTTATCTTTTTGTTACAGTGTTCCGTTTTATTTTTTCGAATATTACACAGTTTCCGTATATTTACAATCGTTTATGTTGCCTTTTTTATTTAACTGCTAATAATTACATCACTTTTAGCTGACACTTCTTTTTTTTTTGTTAGTATTTTTTATTTGTTTATTTTTTCATATTTATTATGTCCTACTATTTTTTATTACTTTAAAAATAAATAGAACTTTTTAACTGTTTCAATTTAAAAGTCTTTTTTTATATTTTCACATTTGTTTTCGACGTCGTGGCGCAATTTTGTTTTTCAAAATTAAAAATTATTAGAGATACTTTTAATCAAAATTTTCCAGAAGTACCCGTTTCAAAATTTTATTTTTTCTGAAACTGCCAATTTCCTGTAATTTACCTTTCAGCTTCAAAATAACAAGCGGATCCCGCATCGGCACAATATTAGTTAAATCCCTCACAGTAAAATCCCCAGCCGGGTGAACCTGATCAGACCGGAAAGTTCCAGAATTCAAGATCACCAAGTCCGCCCCAGTCGCCGCTAAAACGACGTCACAAACCTGAAAAAAAAAAAAACAAAAAAAATTACAACAGATCTCGTTTACATATTAATATTAAAATCCAATTAAATTTCAATTTGATGATTGATCACCACGTCAACGCCCATAATTACCCAATTTCCTAAATTAGACTCCGACGTCCTTATAGAAGTGAAACGCCCGTCCAGTGGTACCGAAAAACAGCCCAACACCTCGTGCATTTTCCCCTCCACGATACCTAAAAGTCGATCAATCAACACCCACTTAAGCCACCCGACGCGTCTTACTCGTGTACTTGTCCAGCTTTTCTTTGAGTTTGGGATCTTCGGCGAACGCAGACGTGACGTTCACCTCCTCGATGGTCACCTCGGGAGTACCATTGGGTTTATCAAAATTGACAGTAATTTTACTAAATTGCCTAAAGTCTGTCCCGCTTTTGATAACGTACTTCCCGTTGACTTCTTTGATTTCGTACACATGGTCGTGTCCACCTAATATCAGGTCAATATCTTCTGAGTTCTCAGCTAGTTTAATATCATTCGGGGTCCGCATGTGAGTTAGAGCGATGACGTAGTCACACCCCTATATAAAAAGAATGAAAATAAAAATGTTGTCAGTTCCGGTGAAACTGACCTCTTGCTTCAACTGCGCGGCCAATTTTTGCCCCGCTTCCACGAAATCCAGGAAGGTGACCATTTCCGGATTGATGGTAGCTAGAGTGTCCAGCCATTCCTTCTCGACGAGGCCCAGAAGACCTATTCTGTGACCGGCCCAGTGTACCACATGGGTGATTCGACCCTCTCCCAATGGGCGTCCGGTTTCGTTGTCCAAGACGTTCGACATGAGCCACGGGAACTCGGTCTGGGCAACCCATTGTGAGAGGACCTCAAGGCCGTGGTCTGCGTTAAAATTTTAATTTGACAATTGTTGCTTTGTGAGGCTGATGAGGTGCTAATGAGGAAATGTTTATGTAGGTAATGTGGGAGCGCTTATGATTGATACGGCCCTGAACTTGACTTACCGAAGTCGTGATTGCCGAGGACTGCGCAGTGGGTGCCGATGTCGTTGAGAACAGGGACCATCTGCTCGCCCTTGGTGTAGGTGCTCACTGAAAATTAATAAAAAAAATCGAAAAAAAAAAATTAACACCTATAAATTGTTGCTAAATTATTATACACATACTTAATAGTAAATAGGTTTTAATATTTAATTAAAAAAGTCTCTTTCGTTGTTGTGAACCAATCTCAACAATTACAAATCGAAGGGATAATTTATTTTCCCTACATGCAAGCACATAAGACAGTAAAAAAAAATATACATTACACACAAAAAAATATTCAACGACTGTTCCTGTGCTGAAATTTTTGTTGCTAATTACTATCAACATAAAATCGATTAGGCTTTATTTGAAAGACTTGCACCCGGAATAAATTACAGATCCTGAGGTGGTTAATGTGCTACTGTAATTTTCCATTAACGGTTTTTATGTTGTAACCAACATTTTAAGCATAATACGTAATCCTGTGAAAATCCCTTTAATGTGTTCGTGTGGAACTTTACACGTGGATTTGTGTAGCGGCCTGTTCAAAAAAGTACTTAACTTTTATTTACCAGATTTTAATAGCAGTTTGATTATTTGATTGATATCTTGAATTATAAACACGATATCACGTAATTTTTTGGTGAAATCTTATCTCGACAGAAATCACTGCAATGAAGTTATTTCTGGAATACCGCAAGGCTCGAATCTAGCGACATTATTCTTTCTTATTTTTATCACTGATCTGCCCGAGACTATTAATAAGTATTACCTAAGACTTTTTAGTGACGACATTAGATTCTTTAATTAAATAAATATTGTAAATAATAATCATTTGAATGGTGACAAGAAACAACGTTGTTAACATTTATTCAATTATTGATTTGTTATATTGTAAAAACGTTTTCAGGATACTTAAAATCCCGGTATCCGAAGATAAATGAAAAATGAAAGAGATAAATATAGATAAGGAAAATATGATTAAATTACCATTTTTCCACCAACTGCAAATGTGGGAACAATTAAAGTTCTTAACAAACTCTGTATGCTTAAAATAAGTGTTTAAATTATATAATTCGTGTGATATTTATACTCTATTATAAATAAAGAGAAGGAAGCGATAACATGTTGACCTCGAATAATTTTATTGTAATTAAATTCACTGACTCCAGAACGAAAAAATGGGTCTAAGATCATTTAGACATAACATTCCTCGCCCCTGAGTGCAATTAAAATTAATCCAGTTTCTTAGATAAATTAAGATTTTTCGTCCTAATTTATCTAGCAAACTACTGAGATGACGTCGTCAAGTTTTTGGAGGGGATGGTCAAACAAATTTTGGTTAGCGTTAACTATCTACACGATATTCCTAGCTCAGTAGTTTCAGAGATTATCTGTCTAATAAAATTGCTAAGAAACGACAGTTAGACGAAAACCGGAGACACTTTTTTTCATAATCTAGGAACTATGAAACGTCCAGAAAACATGAAATTAGCCTGAATGGACCTTATAACAATGCTGTTCTAACTTACCTTTAGTAGAGAATAAAATATGTATTAGGTGATTTTTTTACAGTTATCTAGAAGTTTGTACCTTTGTTTAGAACTCTAGTATTTAAGAAAGTATTTTATTTTCGCTAAGATTCTAACGTGTTGGGTGGACTTTCAATTTATAAGTTTTGTGATTGTTTCTCACATTTTTTTTTTAAACCACCATGATTTTTTTAACACTATTCTTTTACGTAAATTGTCTTTAAAAAAATCTAAAATTCCTTAAAACCATAGTCTCTATATATCAGCATATATTACCGAGGGCACGGAAGAAAGGCCGGATTGTTACTCATTTGACCTGAAACGAGTTCAAACATCGTAATTTTTGTTGTATCAATATCGAGTTTCCGGTTTTAAAATAAACATAATTGTGTGTTCTGATAATAATAAATCTGCGGTGAGACCTGTTCTATTTATTTAATCACTAATTTAACAGTTTCCAGACCTCCTAGTTAATTAAACATTACCCTATTTAACTGAAATGAAAAATAATTATCTAGCAAAAAACACGCTAAAAGTTTAAGGGCCGGTTTATAGAACAGCGAGTTAAATATTTAATCCTCGATTAGTTTAACAGAGAATTAAAATGTGGAATATGAGACCGTGATTGGTTGAAACATGCACGTTTCCTAGCAACGGACCTCAGTTAAAAGTTAATCGCGAATTAACTTTAACTTCGCGTTCTATAAATCGGGTCTTATTTCTTTTTTTTTTTTTTTTTTTTTTTAATTTTTGGACACCCAAATTTTTAGTACCTATAACGCAATAGTGGCTAATTGGGTATGCTTAAAGAAAATCTGCAATAATATGAAAGTTTTATTTCAATATAATATACATCCATGGTGACCTGCTTGTGTCTGGATATACAACGAGGCTTAGAAAGTTTGTTGGTCATTTTATGTCTTTGGGACTCACTCTGCAGCTACACATTATATCAAGCATAACTGGAAGCCAAGGACAACGCCTAAGTTGTGACAAAACATTTAGTGTATCCTCAAACCCATTATTAAAATCAATTCTGATTTTTAATATTTGATTAAAAAATGCTTAAGAAACAATATTGAACTTTTGACCTAGTGAAAAACTAGATTGATTCAAAATACGAAATAACTATAAAAAAAATGTATCTAATATCAAAATATCAATCTTATGAATATTTCCACTATTCCAAACTAATTGCGAGGTTGAGGGTCGTGTCAGTTTTAATTAATAATGGTGCTCTAGAACAAGATATAAGACAGGGATTTATCAACAGCTTGTCTTTTTCCAAAAAAAGTTGAATATCATTTCCAAGTACAGGCAAAAATGCACTGATTGTGGATTTTTCTGTCTGCACATTATCTGCCTCAACTAAATTAGAAATCGGCGTTGTATGATTTCGATGAAATATTTTATCCACTCACGCAAACAAATTATAACGATATAAATGACATGTTATACAATATGTTGATGTAATGGACAACAACTAGTAGCTTTTAAAATGTCGCTAAATTAACTCTTTATTATTCATGATGAGGCATTCCAGTTTCGACAAAGAAAGCTACTTGATATGATAAACGCATAATAATGCATTGTCGGCAGTGAAGAAGCTATTGTCTAACTGTCTATTAATGGCCACTTCCGCTTTATTCTCAAAGCAAAAAAAAACACGACAATAATACAAGATAATTATGGCGTAAGAAGACAAAACATTAAAAAGCAATTACATTTAGCGTATCGTGTACTTGTGTTTGCATTATTCTTCCCATTTTAATAAAATAAATCATTATTCATACAATAAAACAAATATACAATGCAAATTTGTAGAACGAGTTTCTCATTACAAACTAATTAAAAGTTATGATCATAATCATTAACTTATTTTTTTGGAATAAACAAAATTATGTTACAAAAAATGTATGTAAAATAATTTCTAAATTAAAGCGAATTCGAACAAGCAACAAAATCGGGGCTTATCAGCAATGTTGGCAAATTAATAAAAACAATCATGTGATTTAACAATAACAATAAATCTTACGTATTATGAGAACGCGACTAAACAAACACACAAAAAATACCCTATTGGATAAACTTATTTTTATCTGAAAGTTTTGGGTCTACAATAAATCACGATTCCAGAACAAACAAAATGAGGATTAGGTTCAGTTGACAACAACACTCGAACGGGTTAAAGCTGTTAGAATTTCTGGAGTAAATTAGAGTTAGTTAAGAATGGTAATTCTTAAACATATGTTTTGCGACGGTCTCCGTTGTAAATTAATTCTACTCCTTAAATATTTTTTTATATCTCTATTTAAGTACTACGTACATTTTTATACTTTATGTTATTAGCGTTCTTCCCACACCCCACTACAAATTTCTAAAATAGAATCCTTCCAATTGTGACAATAAAAAAATAAATAAAATGATAAACTAAAATTCTTATTTTACGTTGACTATTGAGTATCGATCGATAGCCACTGTTTCTAGGTAAGTTTGTGAAATTATCAGTTAATGTCGTACAGGTCTTCAAGTTTTCTTTAATTTTTCTAAAATTACCAAAAACATTGCGAATTTAAAAAATTTTCGAATCTCAGAACAAATTAGTTACATTAAAATGTTGTGTTTTTTTTTTACAATAAGATTTGTTGTGAATGTTCGAAAACCTTTATTTTCTTATTACAAATTCCAAATTTGTTGCCATTTTTAGATTAAAAGAAAAATTCTTGTTATGAAAAAATTCAATTAGAGACGGCTATAGTCCTAAATATGTAGTTGGCAATTCTGTCTCGTGATTACTATATCATTCGTTATATTTTAAGTTTGAGGTTAGAATTGTCAAATTCATCGCGAGAATCATAAAAATTTGTTTGCTAATAATTTAACTTCAAAATATACTGACAATATTCACATTACATTATTCACTGAACAAAATGTTGGAAGCACTTCTAAAACCAACTTTAGTTAGCTTTTTTTAAATCACGACAAAATAAACAAAATTTTTGTTTTGTAATTTTTATGTCCCTTTAACACTGCACTAGGTAACATTTGTTCTTTTTAAACTTTACTCAAAAATTTAAAGTTTTTAAATGTCAACTTTTTACAATATTGAAAACAAACAAAAAAAATCCAAAAATTTTGAAAATAAAAAACAATAAAATTTGTTGTTTTTAATGTTAATACAATAATCGAGTAGTTTACAAAAATAAAGAAAAGTGTTCTGGGGTTACACCTTCCCTTTTACATAGCCAATGTCGTATTTTTCAATACACATTTATTTAAAAATTTTCAAGATGGGGGCATAAATATTTAGTTTTGAATATGTATATTGGAAATTAGGGGGTCAGTTCCTGAAAAATTAAAAATATTACATCATGGTTATTAATTTTTGGAGATGACGGCATTGATTTTTTAGAAGGGATGAATAATTAAATTATATGCATGTTGTACAGTCGCTAAACTTTTTGAAAAAATGTAAAAAAAATACTTAACTTGTCAATATGATAATGTTATACCATTCAGCGAACAAAAAACAGAATTTGGAGCTCAGAAAGTATACATTACACCAAATTATACGAGATTACTAAGTATATTGGTTTAAAACTCCATAAAATTTCGCGAAAAATAAAAATTACGCAAAATTAACGACCACTCAGAAGTAAAAAAAATAATTTCGGACTGATTTTTTTTAAAACCACAAGGTCGTCTGGAGATAACGTACAACAATATTATAATAACACCAAAAAATAATCACCGATGTGTACACTGTTCACAAAAAGTTACCCACAACCTATAAAAACCCGCTTTAAATTCCAATAAAACACGCAAACAACACAGTTTACAAAACAAACTCTTCTACTCACACATGCTCGGCGAAAAAGCATCCCCGCTGAACAGCACCAACGGGTGCAGATGCTGGAAACTCTTGATGGCCGTACAAAACCTAGCCGCACCCCCGACGGGTTCCGGGGACAGCCTCGACTCCACGTTGTACACGTCGTTGAAATGCAAAATCACCAGGTGCTGAGCCATCGCTCCTCCAGCCAGCGTGTTCACAGCCCTTCGTCCAGCCGCTCGCACCTCCAAAGACGCCTAAACAAACTCAAGTTAGCACTCTCAACTGGGACATGACAAAACAGCGGCACGAACGGAATTTACCCAAAAACGCGAACCGCAAACAGAAACATGCTAAATGGTCGTAATTGAGGCTTTTAGGGGTTTTAATGCGGGACACGTGGAAGGCACGTTGTGAAGTGGAAGAGTGGGCTTCTGAATCGCGATTGTTGAGCAACATTGACTGTTGGTTTATGAAAGTACTAGATTCCGGGCTTTAAGTAATAGGCTGTGTCAGATTTGACATTAATCGATCCGTTTGCCGTGGGGGTTCTTCAGGGATCTCGTCTAAGTCCAGGTTATTTGGTTAATGACATCTGTATCTTACGCTTAATCATACCAGCTTTCACTCCAAATGAGCAATTAAAAAGTTGTATTGGAATAAACCGAATAAATTAAAAAATCGAGGAAAAAAAACAAAACTTTACAAAAAAATATATGTGTATATATGTGGTCAAAAGTTTCCGCAAAATCTATGTAAATCATGTCCACTCTCTCTCCTGAATTACTGAAACAAAGGTCTTTAGTACCGTGTGATTTTTTAAACTGCGATCTAGTTTTTTTTGCCCATTATGTCACCAAATTACGTCGGTCGCTTTTTGAACATGCAACTTGTGTTGTGGTCAGTCAGTCTCTTAAAAGCTACATCTTTATTTAAGAATGAATCGAAAAAAGTGTTTTGATACAGAAGCAGAATTTTCATCTCGAGAAAAATGTTTTCCAAAACAGCCAGCAAGTAAATGGTGATTGGGTGTAAGAAGCCTAACCCTGTTTTCAGGAATTTCGTCAAAAACTCCCTGATGCTGCTACTCTTGAAGCTAGTGTTTTAAGGATACTCAGTTATGTGTGTTTCAAGAACCTAAGCCGCTTGATTATGAAAAATAAATGATGCTCTATATTTTAACTGGTTTAATCAAACAATGATCTTCGGATCGTCCCATATCAAAACACCAAATTTGAATAAAAAAGTGCGTCGCATGATTTTTGATTTTGATGAAAAAACTTGAGGACGATCTTTTAGGTAACCAATATGAAAAACTACCATTTATTTTTTTGGGTGCTTCACTTCCGATTGGCATCCATTAGAAATCTGACATGGCATTTTCAAACTCTCCTATTGTGGGCCTGTAACTTTTTTTCTATGACACGTATTGAAACGATTGTAATTGTATTTTACTGTATAAGAAGAACTGTAATAGACTATGTAAATGAAGTTTTAAGTTCCCTGGACCATCATTTTCTTGGAGAAAAAAAAAAAATTAATGAAATTTGTAACTTTCAAAAGTGGTCTATTTTGGCTCCTGAAATCATTATGTTGAGGGAAAAATACAAATTTGAGCTTGTGTTGAGGTTGTGGAGTGCATAAAATCTCCAGCATTTTGAAGAAACCCCTTTACACCCACGAAAAATTGGAGTTTGGTGTGCTATTTCTCGAAGACGACTATTCGGCCCTATTTTTTTGAGGAATCAATTACACTGCGAAATATCAGAACACACTACAGAAATTCATTAGCCAGCTTGATTCTGAACAATTGCAGAAATGTTATTTTGAGCATGACGGCGCAACAGCTCAAACAACTTGAACTTTCTAAGGAACTTTTATGACGATCGTTTAATTAGCTCCCCAGGCCTTATCTACCCACCTCGATCACCTAATTGGACACCTTCAAAATATTTCTTGTTCCCAATTTTGAAAAACACTATTTTTAAATAATCAGTGGATACAATCAAAGACCTAAAAGTCAGAACCCTACAAGAGCGTGAAAGTGTTTCGCCAGAAGTTCTTACTTGAGTATTTGAGATGAAACGCCAAATTAATTTATGTGTTGATGCTGGGGGCCAACACTTACAAAATTGTTGTAAATTTAACTAAACTTGTTACTTATAAATAAATCATATTAAATCCAATGAGGGTTTAATACTCGTTGAGATAACATAATCTAGCTTTCTAATTTCAGCCACGGACAAACCATATTCAGGTTATGTTGGGAAATTGCGAATTCATCACAATAACGCACATTTTTTAAAAACAAAGTGAATTAAGTGCTAAATCATACACATAGCATGTAATCTACTTTAACAGTCCACACATATCATTAAAAATTAAATTCGCAAAATTCAATTTTGTAATTTTTTGAAGAAGTTTTATCTAAATAACGTTAGATCAATTTCTTTGTTCAGTGTATGAAGCACAGTTATTCTTATTTTTTACCTTTGTTTAACTTTTTTTTTGTGTTGTAGCAATTTTTATAAGAATTTGAATATTTTTAGTAGTGCGTTATGCACCTAAATTCCACAATGAGTACAGACGAGTACTTAGAAAAACTACGATAGTATGCATTGTTAAGATTTTATTTATCGTAAATGCGCTGCATTAATAAACCATTATTATTTTTATTATGGTTGTATTGTTTTAAATCCTGATACATTTGTCTTTATGCTTCATGCTAGAGACGGGAAAAGCGCAAAACTTCAGGTAATTTATTCAAAATTAAAGAACTTTATGGGGGCCGAGCGACAGAAACCTGTCTGTCGCCCAACTTGTGTTCCCATATAAAGAATCAAGCCAGTATTACAAGGTATCACAGTCCCACACACAAACAGCAAAAACGAAAAATTGAAAAAGTTAAATATTCAACAGATAAAATCGCCTAAAAGCCATGCAAAATTTCCTGCAACCCAGACAAACATCCCTATAGGTACTTAACAGCTAGTAACCACCCCCTCTAATTCTGAGTGTGCTACACCTCTTGGGGTAAATCCCGGGTGCGAAGCCAACGCTCTAGCAATCATATCTGTTACTATTAACCTGTTTCAGCCACCCGACCACGCTGGTAACCTTGCTGGTGACTTCTGGGGGCACCTCGATGCTGTGTTCTTCCACCAGGGAGCTCCACTTGGCCCTGAGGGCCGCCTGGGCGGCGAAACTGGCCATTTCAAGCACCCCTCAACAGCGGATTAGCGTTAAAGCATTCCTTGAGCCCCACACCTCGGTTAGAAGGGTTACTTGTGCATGCAGTCCCAAAGCAACTTTGTCACTCTACTCACTCTATTCGGACTCGCGGTCTGCACGTTCCTGCACGTGTCTACCCGTTGGAGAATCGATTGCTTTCATTTCCATAACAGATTTTCATTCATGGATTGCTGCGGTGTGTTTCCGCTTTACTTTTTAATGGGCTATTGATTGTTGGCGATTTCGATGGCTCTTGAACGGGCGATGTGCACTTCGTTGATTAGGTCATGGGTTGTGGAGCACAACTCGTCACACATTATTAAATATTTAACATTTTTGCCGGCGGTTGCGAAAGGCCGACGTGAAGGACGAACTCGGATTTGTCGCAGGATGGTTGTGACATCTGTTGGGCGTTTGGGTAGGCGACGGTCGCAGAAATGTCAAGTGGGAGTGCGCAGGTCCACCCTTTGAATTTGTTTAAGACTATGTGTATGGTTGGTTGCATAACCTTTTTAAATTTAGAATCATCCTCATCCAGGATAAACACCACGTGAATAGAAACAAAACGTCACAGTATTTTTCTAAAAATAGTTATATAGTTATAACAAATAAAATTCTGTCCGTTAATAAATGCCACCTCGGGTGTTCTAAATAAGTTTTTAATAAAAATAGTACCTACGATTGCTTCTGTATTTTTTGTCGATTTTAGATAGATTTCGTCAAAAGTTCACTTTTTCAGTATCCCTCCCCTGTTTCTATATTTTTTTACCATACACCGTCAAAAATTACCAAAAGAGTGTCTTGTCGATTCTGACCCCGAGAAGTTTTTACAGTTTCAGTTCTTTGAATCGCCAAGATGAAATGTGGTTAATTTTGAGGCATTCAGAAATTTGGTTTTCAACTCGAATATTTAGAAAGCTAAGAAAGTATTGTAATAGGGTCCATCTAATGAACGACTAGTAACTTTCATACTTTTTAGATCATATTCACAACCACAGAACACTCACAACCCTTCCGAAAGATGAAATAAATGAATGAATTATAGGAAGAAAGAAGAATTAAACCAATCACATTTGTAGAATGCGTAAGGACAGAGTGGCAAGAATCGCCAGAAATAAGTCACCGATTGAAAGAAGAATAATAGGCCGACCAAGGATAGGGTTGTCACATTCCGAAAAGCTTTATGTAGGAGAATAGTGGGGAAAATATCTTAGATCATATAATAAATAGATACCAATACTCAAACTGAAAGCTGTGACTAGACATGAAGCTATCTGTTGTCGTTTTCTACGTCAAGAAGAGTAGTATAATGCTATCCTTGTGTGATCACCACATCTTCATCTTTGTTAGATGCATTTCATCTGTATATGTCTATCCTTGTACCGCACCAGCACAACAAATCGCTTTTGACAGATGTTTCTTCTAACCTCTCTTTCGAGTTGTTGTACAGAAAACAATTTTAGAATTTAGAACAAAGATCCTATTTTAAGTGATGTAATCATAAAGGATCACAATTGCTGCCCAATAATTTACTATTCCTTTCATTATCTACTGTGAATTATTTATAAAATCAAGCTGTCAACATCTTTCGTACGAAGTTAGTTCAGACATACTTCCTAAAATTTAGGCGCGCAAAATTCAAATAGTGATCAGGCAAGGATAGCTTCATTGTAATCCCTCCATGCACGAGAGAGATGTGTGACAGGAGGATGTCGTCACAGGCTCTGCTAGGGAAAGAACACGGCATGGTGGTATCTATTTATTATATGATCTAAGGAAAATATAGGAATTTGTTTAAAAATCTAGGAAATATTTTTTTATTTATAAAATACATACATAATACATATGAGTATAGTAAATATACCTAATATTTAATAAACATAATAAAGGAAACAGGAAACAAATAACAGAAACACAACATTATAACTGATATGATATTTATTATCATTTCTAGGTCACAATTAGGATTCTTTTGTAGCTGTGTATTTGTAGCACCGGAAGTTTCTTTCACTTCGTTTTTAGCATCGAGATTAAAAATATAGTAGTTTGGCCACCCTATTTAGGATATAGGAAATTCTCTTAAAATAAAGTAGACTCCTATTAAATATAGTAGGTAAGCAAGGAAGAGATGATCTGATGGCGTCGAGGTTTAGTGCTGAAGAAAAACAGACAATATGGCTAATTTAAAGACGGAAGAAGAAAAGGCCTCCCTTTCGGTCTCTGTTTCGGTCGTCTGTTTTGGTATTTTTAGACAGGTAATCTCCAAAACCACTGGACCGATTATTGCTAAATTCAATGTAGACGAGTATTTTAAGAATTTTGAGGCGATTTTCACTTGTTTACAAATGCGCACGGAATCATCTTGATTTTTACCCCAGGCATTCAGTGTTTTGAAAAAAAAACTTGTATACAATTTTATACTCTAATTTTGGAACTGCAAACTCGAATGCTCCAAATCTTCCAAACGTTGTTAGGTTATCGTAATCGTACATCGTTAATCAAAATTTATTCGTTTATTTCCTTCCAAAAAATTGATGACATCATCCTAGAATTTTGCCAAATAAATTCTATCTAAAATGTGCGCATTTTGAGGCTGTGTTTGTGGTTTATCATCGTATTTATATTTTTTAGGTAGCTTATACAGAGTGACTCAGAAAACAAAATGAATGAGACGATTTATTTTGCTGTGCCATCAAAAACGGCTCATTCCTCTGCCCAGAAAATTTGGGAATATAGCAGTGGCGGCTCGTGACTGTCTGATGTGGTGAGGCGATGATAGAAATTTGACAATAATAACATTAATAATAATATTAATAATCAAATTAATTAAATTAATGTGATTAATGCATATTACTTGGTCTTACTAATTAGTAATGATAGAAGTCTTTTTTTCAGGGTCAGTGGTAGATCCTAATAATAATAATAATATTAATAATAACACCCATACCACATTTAATCAGCAATGTTTTTACAAGTCAAAATTTTGTTCAAACTAGGACTTTCTTGGAGGGATTCGGGAATAGTTGTTGTGTTCCTTTGTAAAGGTTTTAGGCCCATGAAATTTTTAATGTGTACTTTGGAACTTTTATGTAACTGCACTTCGGATGAAATTATTTAAATCGTTACATCCGGGGACGTCAAATATTACGGCAGAGCCATTTATATGTTTCGTACCAAGTTGATTTAAAAGACTTGAGAGTACTGACGATTCTGTCGCTTATCAATGGAAGTTAAATGAATTAACGGTTTTGACTGCTCGATATTTAGCAAAATTTGCCGACGTTCTAGCTTGGTTCGCCGTGAAAACGACGTTCAAGAAGGAACATGACGATATTGGTACTCGAGATTCATTTTTCACTCACCTGTACCTATGAAAGAGACAAAAGCACGAAACATCAACACGTGGGCTTTTACTCACATTCATGCTAATTACCCACGCACCCCGCAGCCCTTCCGTTCTGTAAAATAAATGGGAAAATGGTTTAATAAGTACTCCGAAAATGGCCGAGAAGCACCGAAGATATCGCCTCAGTTCCGAGCGAACGCATGTATCGGAGTATAGGAGCTGAGCCATGGAAATCCGTGTCTGTGATTGGGCTTCGTTGGTTCAAGTGAACCGACGTTCTGGCCGCTTCAGTTAAAGAACTAGGAGCATAAATCGTACGGTATTCAACCGAAAATGTCAGCAGAAAGCGTAAAAAATAAAACATCATATACAGATTTACCATTTCAACATATTTTTGTAACTGAAAATGCATTGGAAGCTCATTTTTAATTACAAATTAACTCAATCTGTTCTTAAGATATATGCTGTGAGGCGCCGCCTCACTTGCCTCATCTGACGAGCCGCCACTGGAATATAGGATATACCTACTGTTATTATTAATATTATACTGCACCTATCCATACTGATATACGTATCCGTGCTAAAATATTGAGAACGTTATTACAACATTTTGTATTGTAAAAACACAACATACGCATAGCGTGCTTCCTTACATTTATTTACCTTAAAACCACTTTTTATTTGAATTTATGGGGCTTATTTTAAGATAATAAAATTCACAAAATTATATTTTAGAATTTTTCGAAAAAGTTGGGTATGATGTACTGTGCTTGAGGGGTGAGGCAAGTTGTGTCTTAGTAACCTTAGATCAATGGTTTTTACAACTTTTTTAATTTAATTTAATTTATTTACTTTACTTTACGGGATACCCCCTATATTACACATAAAGTATTTATCCAATGAGTGCTAAGAAATTATTACAATGAAATATAAATAATATAAATAAGAATTATATAATATTAATACAGCTTAGAAGTCTTCAGTTGGCTTTTAAAACGATTTCTTGATGTCCCAAACAATTCCACTTCATCATTACATGTATTTGCCAATCTTGACTATCTAGCAATAGGAGAAAAAAAAATTGTTTTATGAAAATCCACCTTAAATACGGGATGGTTACGAGTAGATCTTGAAGGACAACGTAACTTGAACTTTTCCAAAAGTGAGGAACAATCTATTTCGCCTGAAATCAAATTATGTAAAAATAGTAAGTAGATCATTTTTCGTTCTTCTCAGTTCCAACGAATCCAACTTCAATACTTTCCTAAGTTCTTGATAATTATATTGATAACCCTGATGCCCAATCCCTAACTTAGATGAACAGATAGACAAAAATTTATTTTGCACACCCTCCAACGTTTTAATATTTATTTGGTAAAAAGGAGACCAAACGGTACAGTTATATTCTAAAATGGAACGAACGAAAGATATATATGCCAATTTAGACGTATCAATTTGAAACTCTTTTAGATGTCTATTAATAAACCCAAGGATTTTATAAGATTTGCATGAAACAAGTTGAACATGTTCAGTAAATGTTAGTTTTTGGTCCATCATCACACCAAGATCTTTTATATTCGAAACTCGTGACACTTTGTCATGAAATAACGAATACTGATAATCAACTGCAGTTGTATTTCTGGAAAAAGATATAATAAAATATCCTCTTGGAGAAGTACACAGTCTTCGTAAGACCTTATGTCTTTATATATTTTGAGGTCGTCCTCACATAAAAGTATATTAGAATTCCGTACTACTTGATTAATATCATTTATAAAAAGCAAAAATAACAAAGGACCACAATGTGACCCTTGTGGAACACCCGAAGGAACAAGGATCAGTTTAGATATAAAATTACCGAATTTAATGTACTGAATGCGATCCCTGACAAAACTACCGATCCAGCTAATCAACTTGCTATCCAAATTCATTTTCTCCAGTTTATATATCAAGATATTGTGATTGACTCTGTCAAATGCTTTGGACAGGTCACCATGAAAGGAGTCAACTTGAGAATCATTTTCAAAAGAGTTTATTATAAAATCTTGATATTCTAATAAATTTGTTAAAGT